GTCTTTAATTTCATTGCAGATGGGTCTTACAAGAAAAGCAGTAATTGACAGTTACATTTCATCAAAAACAGTTCATTCATTTGAACATGTTTTATCCACCAAAAAGTTAATAACATCATGAAAATGAAAAAAGTAAATATTGCAGCTTTCAAGTCCGATTTTAATAAGCGATGGAAGAAAGCTAACTATTGTAAAAGCAGATTTGAAAAGAAAAATAGTTTGTGGATGAGTAAGGAACTAAAATTAGACTGTGAAATTGATTTCGAGTGTGATAGACCTGGTCATTCAATTGAAACAAACAGTGACAAAGAAAGAATGCCAAGAACAGAAAATGATAGAAAATTTAACTTAGAACAAAGTGATAGAAGTAAAAGGAGGAAAACTGAAGAAATCAGAAAGGCCCACACAGCTGAACAGCTAGCATATGCCACACAGATGAAATTACGTGAGGCAGGGAAAATTCATGCTGCAAAACTTTGCAGCGAAGCATCACTGTGACTGATTTTTATATACATCTCCCGCTGCAGAATCTTCTAGATCACACGACCTTACGCCTGCTGCACGCACAAACACAAGCAGTTGGTACACTGAGGGAATCACTAGCTGATAAGCGTATGACACTAGAAATAATAATAAAGTATGGCTTCGATGGCAGTGGAAGTCACTCGCTCTATGCCATGAAGGTTAATGAAATGAGTTCAGAGGTGGCAGAAACTAAAATGTTTGCCTCATTCATATGCCCAATTAGGGTTATATGTAAAGAGACTAAGGCCATATTATGGCAAAACCCTGTGCCATCTTCTCCTGTTTATTGCCGTCCCCTTCGCATAAAATTCGCAAAGGAAACAAAAGAGCTCATAAGATCAGAGCATAATTCCATCGAGAGTGAGATTCAAGACCTGACACCTACTATTGAGGGAGATATAACAGTACATCATACATTGATTCCTACTATGGTAGATGGCAAAGTTTGCCAAGCGCTTTCAAATACGCCATCTTCATCTAGTTGTTTTCTGTGGCAACCTGTTACAAAGCCATCCCAAATGAATAAAATAAATGAAATTAAAGGTAAGGAAGTGTCGAGGGAGTATCTCAAATACAGCATATCACCTCTTCACTTACTAATAAATACCATGGAATGTGTATTACACATAGCCTATCGATTGGACTTAAAAGTGTGGAGTGTTAAGGGAAAGGAGAGTAAATCCATCATGCTCAAGGAAAAAGAACGTATTCAGTCCGCATTTAAAAAAGAAGTTGGGATTAATGTTGACTTTCCATCCCAAGGTAGTGGGAACACAAACAACGGAAATGCAGCACGAAGGTTCTTTTCTGATCCCGTCAAATGTTCACTTATAACAGGTGTAGATGAAGAACTTATCAGGCGTTTTTCTGTTTTGCTTTTTACTCTGAACTCAGGCTACAACATCAACGCCAAAACATACGAGGTATATGCTAAGGAAACAGCAAAGCGATATATAGACCTATATAACTGGTATTACATGCCAGTTTCAGTGCAAAAGATACTTATGTATGGGTCGCATATCATTGAGGCATTATGCATACCAATAGGGCACGCTTCGGAAGAAGGCTTAAGGGGGTTTTACGCGGTCAAACATGTTGGCCAACACGCTCATCAAACCTCCAACACAACATGTTTGAAGAGTGTTTACACGTTGAAACCAAACTGACAGACAACCTCAGTCGGTGCCAAAAGGAGAAGGAGCAACATGTCACTTACCACAGACGAGGTGATGGCAGTCGGGATAGTGATTGCCCTCAACGAAAAGAAAAGGAAGCGTTCAAAGTGGACAAAGGACTGGTTGCTGAAAAGGGACCAAATTTCACATACCAACTTAATGAAAGAGCTGAAATTAGACCCAGATGAATGGCGCAATTATATGCGCATGGATGAATCAACATATTTAGAACTTTTGAATATGGTCACTCCATTCATTACATGTAAAGACACCGTAATGAGGAAGTCCATTAGCCCTCATGAACGGCTGATCGCAACACTGCGTTTCTTAGCAACAGGCCGATCTCTGCAAGACTTGAGATTTTCAGCTGTAATGGGAACTAGCACCTTATCCAAGATTATACCAGAAACTTGTGTTGCCATCTACAAAGTACTCAAGAAGGATTATTTAAAGGTGGGTTATGATATGCAATAATGTGCATTTATTGAGGAAAATCAGTACATAGTAATAGTATGTGAAAAATACTGAAACCTGTTGAAATGTCCTATGCTTTCTAACCACAGTGTCAAGCGAAAGGACAAAACCCAAATCAATCCAAAATTATAACCCTTTATATCTCACTCTTTGATTGCCAGACACATATGAAATTGTTACAAGGGCTGAAAATTGGCAAAATAGTGTGACATATTGGAATCACTATTAGAATTATCGCTTACATGAAAGGAACTTGACGACTGTGGTACTGGTGTTGCAAATGATTCATGTGAATGGTATGTGTTTGTTACAATTTTAGAATAGGCAGACAAATTCCCATTCTCTGCTTCAAAAAGCACATCATTTATCAGTTTCCTAGCACAGCCTGCTGTTTTCTTGTCCAGGGAGTCGAGTGCTTGGCCTACGTACTTCCCAAATGTCTCATTAGGAGTATCATGTCTCTCAGATCTCTCTTCTAAGTTACGAGCGACCAGGTTTAGAATGTGATCTGCCTTCGTAGTGTTTCCCCTGCTCCGTTTCACTACAGGAGCATTGCTGCATGAAGGTATTTCATCATCAGCTGGTGGCTCAGCTCTAGAAAGGAGAACACCTATATATAGTGCAAGTCTCTCTCTCTCTCTCTCTCTCTCTCTCTCTCTCTCTCTAATAGCCTTGTATCTTTTCTGTTTCAGTTTCCGGCAACAGAAAAGGAGTGGAAGACTGTTGGAGAACAGTTCGAGTTTAGATGGAATTTTCCCCACTGTCTCGGTGCTGTTGATGGAAAGCATGTATGGATAACGCCGCCATCAGAATCAGGGTCTTATTATTGGAATTACAAAGGATACAACAGTCTTGTGTTAATGGCAGTTGTAAATGCGAACTACGAATTCATTATGGCAGACATTGGAACTAATGGTCGCGTATCAGATGGAGGAGTCATTGATAATACAGAATTTGGTAAGCGACTCAAAGATGAAAAGCTCTGCATCCCACATGAGTCAGTAACAGCTACTTCAAATTGTGTTTTGCCATATGTATTCGTGGGAGATGAGGCCTTTGCATTAAGGACAGATTTCTTGAAACCTTATTCTCAAAAGGACCTACATAGTGAGACGCGAGTATTCAACTACAGGCTGTCAAGGGCACGGAGAGTGGCAGAAATTCGGCATTATGGCTTCCAGGTTTAGAATTTTCCACTTGTATAAATCTCAAATTGACAAGTATTGACAAAGTTGTCATGGCATGTGTTGTGCTACATAACTATTTGCGGAAAGCATGCCCTTCAGACTATTCCCCAGAGGACTGCTTCCATAGGGAGGATAGAATGTGCAAAATGATTTTGCCAGGCTTTTAACTGCAGATCCTTATGTAGCAGGTTTGCAACACGGTCAGGGATCACGAAACTATCCTGAAATTGCAAAGGTAGTAAGAGATAGATTTAAGGATTACTTTGTGAATGCCGGTGCAGTAGCATGGCAAAAAGACTTCATATAAATCATGAAAAAGGAAAGGCTAGTCTACACCTTCAAACTCAAACTATACAGTCTGATTGGAATTGGCTTAAATAGTGTGCTGTAATTTTTTTTTTTTCAAAATAAATGAATACAATGGTTATGATAAGTTTAATTGATTCATTATTCAAATGGCTGGCTCAAGTTTAGCTTTCAGATCCAGATTGACATGTTGGATTCTTAATGAAATGATGATTCATAATACAAAATTGTCTGAAACTTCAGACTAATATACCAGAGAAGTCAGGAGATACATTTTACAACCTACAGATTATATGAAAGCACCCATGAAACTGAATAAAGTCATCTATGCATAGCCAATAAAAAAAACGAATAAATAAACGGCCACTCTGGTTCTGAAGGTTACTTGTTATCCAGTTTTGGGCAAATCCTTGCAACTCACCTCTTCATTAACACATTCCATATTTGATGTACTCTCTCGTGGCATCTCTTGATCACATATGAACATCATGTCTTCAAAATACCAGAGAGTGGGCGTGTAGATGTTATCAGTTGCACTTCCAGACTTTTTAGAGCTCTCATGCTTTCGAAGTTCTCTTCTAAACGAACTACGGAGAGAATTTATTTTTTTCATCACATCATCCCGCGTACAATGTGGGTCAAGTTCTTGTAGCTTTCCATGCAGTTCATCTATACCCTTATTTCTTAAATTCCTGTTTGAGTATTCTTTTGATTTCACCTTCCACAAAGCCACATGCTTCCTGTATATATCAATGAAACCCACCATTACTTCCCTTTCCTTATCCTTAAGGGCACACGTGTCACTCATTTTGCAGCTGATACACTACGCCTGTCACTGAAGGAGATGTTTACAGATGTTACCTCGGCGAGATTTGAGTATGTATGACGGTTGAAGGCTGATGACCGTTCACACGTTCAAACATGGACATGCACCGAGCAAGCTCCGCCCACAAAAGTCAGGCCCCGTCAGACATCCGTCCAACACGTTGGTCAAACATGTTTACCCCTTTCACACGTTCAAACATTCTCTCAAACGTCGTGTTGTCAAGCGTGTTGGCCAACATGTTTGACCGTGTAAAACCCTCATAGAAGCTAGACATAAAGATTTGCGCTCTGCCAGATTACATCATACCTGCAAATCACCGAGGACTCGAGTAAACAATGATCTGATTCACTGGTTACTTGCAACATCCGACCCAGTGGTAGCTACTTCCCAGAAGCCAAGGTCTCTCAGAAAATATAATTCATTATCCCCAGACATTAGGTCGCTACTTGATGAGCCAAAGATTGAGGAGTACAGGCAGACAAGCACTCATTCAGACGATGACGATGAGCATGAAGGTAATGATGAGGAAGAGGACGATGACTTCATATAATCTTTGACATGTTTTTTTTTTTTTTTTTTTTTTTTTTATTCTCGCAATGTTATGCTGTATGATTATTTCACTGTTAATGCCAATATACATTACTGTATAATGTACGTATTTTGATTTTTAAACATTCTCTCGGAAATAGCTGATATTTCATGGTGTTCATTACTTAAGTTTTTTGTTTTTGTTTCTGTTGTGTAAGCTTCAAAATCATTTTTTGAGTGTAGGATACTGTACCCTGATAAACAGTATATATCAAGATGTATAAACTTCTGAATAATTTTTTCCCCAGTGAAACTAGGGTTTCTATTATATCCTATATTTAGTATGCATCTACTGTTTAATGGAAATGGAGTAATAGTAATAATATAAAACGATGGAAGCAAAAAAGTATGTTTAAGAATCGCAAATCACGAGTGGCCATGAAATTGGCGCTTGGGACCACTGTGGGGCGTCGCGGCCGAGAACGAAGTTCGTTATTTATGATCGGATTTTCGCGAATTTTAAGTATGTTATACATATATTATGATTTGCACCACCAAGTTTGAAATTATTCGGATATTAAACAATGAAGTTATTAAAAAAAAAAAGGATTTTGAAAATCAAAAAATAAAATTGACCTCACTTATCCACTGACCGAACTTGTAAAAAAAAAAAAAAAAAAAAAAAAAAAAAAAAAAAAATCCGCATATACTCTATAGCAATACCTACATTATCAACGATTCGGATGTTGAAATTTCCTCTTAGTTTTGCAGAAATGAATATTTTTAAAATCTAAAAGTTAAAGATATTCCATGAAATATATGAAGTTTCATGACCTGAAAGTGAAATTTGAACCGTTGATAAAATCGCAAATTTATTCAGCTTTCAAATTCAAACCCCATTAGAATCGCCCAAGTACTTATGAATTATAAAGAATGTTGCCAAAGGTGTAGTTTTGAGATATTGGGTTTTGAAGTTGAGGATACCTTTCCCTGCATTTATTTATTTATTTATTTATTTTTTAGAATTCTGATCTTTGCGTCAATCTTGATGCATTCTATGGCATTCACATGGTATTCTGAAGCATAGCTGGTACCTGGTCCCCCTTCTTGTAAGGTACTAATCGTTCAAAGCCGAGGGTATCAGGAGGCACCACCTCCCTCATTGTGGCCAGGTTTGCTCCTCAAGAGCCTGATTGACGGAACTTGGAATTTGGGTCTCCACATCCAAGTTATCAAGTTATTTTTGTGTTTTTTTTGTGAAAGGAAAAGAATGTGATAATTGTAAATGTAAATGTCTTTATGTCTGTGATAGCAAGAAATTTGTAATAAAAGAAAAAATAAGGTTTCTGTGATAAAAGATAAATGCCAATTTTGTTAGAAGTAATCACATTGATAATGTTTTCTAATGAACTACCAAAGAAGTTTAATTTTGTATTAGGAAAAATAAATATTATTTTTGCCAATTATATATTTTATTCACAAACAACAGAATAGATATTGTAAGTTCTTACCATGCATATATATGTGTATGTATTAATTCCTTTGCAATTATATATTTCACAGTGCTTCTACAAATGCATTGTATGTGACAGGAAAAATAATCAATGAATCATTTAATCTCTGAAGCAGTAGGAAAATTTACAAAATAATTTATAAAATCTACATAATCATTAATATTTCACATGTTTATTTATTAATCAATATAAGAAATCATAGAGTAAAAGCCAAAACACAAGTTGTAATTCAAGGCAAACAAAACATGAACCTCTAAACATCATATTAATAATTAAAAATATAGTCTTTATGAAATAATATACCCAATAATTCTCCATAATATGAAAAATCCATTATCACAAGAGACCAGCACTGACTAGAACTTAAAAGTAAGGAAAAAACTTTGTTCACTTCAGAAACAGGCAGCTTCACAATCCACATCAAGAACAAAATATATTTTTCTTTATTATTTTTTATACAATCATATTTATATATATATATATAATAATAATATACTATATAATTGACAGTTAATATTTTCCTAGTTAGAAATCATATAAATAATAATAATTAAAAAAACAAACAATATATCTAAATCTTAGAAGAAAATCAACAATAAAATTTCTCTGGGTATTGTCTTCCTGTACACCCTGGGTTCTGATACCAGGGGCATCTTGAGGATCAAGTTGGACATCTGGTAGATCTAATAGAATTTTATAAGTAATTTGCAATGTTGTGCAAAACTGCACAAGCCATAATGATTTTTTTGCTTGTGTCCAACTTAGTCCTCATTGGTATAGATAGGACAGCAAATCTCCTTTTAAGCACACCAAATGCTCTCTATAGTATTCCCTAGTCCTGACATGGAGGAATATACCTACTCTGCTTGTCAGTACTAGGATTACCAAAAGGAGTCAGAATGTAGGACCTACAAGGATATCCACTGTCCCCCAAAAGAAAGCCTTTGTAAATGCCTGATCGCAGCTTCTCACAAAAAAGAGACATTAAAAATACGAGCATCATGGGCACTACCAGGCCAGTTTGCAATAACATTTAAAAAAATTTAGGGAAGCATCACAGACACCCATCACATTCAAAGAGAAGAATCCCTTGCGGCATCGATACAGTTCAGCATCAACTCCACCAGGACTCCTAATTGGAATGTGTGTTCCATCTACACACCCAATTACACCTGGCATCCCAGCAATCACAGAAAATTGGCTCATGATGGTTTCTTCATTGATTGGCTCTGGGAACTTGATGTGCCTTGGTGCCAATTCTGCTATCCTAACTACAATAACTGAGACACATCTACTAACGCTGAACTGGGACACATCTGAACAGTCAGCCATGCTCAGCTGAAAATTGCCAGTTGCCATGTATCTCAGAGCTATGGTCAGCTGAAGATGAGGTGGGATCGGGCTACCTGTGAAATAAAATAGGTATCATTATGTAATATACATATATAAAATTTGGCATATATATCTTGCAAGAGCAAAGAGAGAAATATTAATTTATACACTTATAAATAAATGTTTTAAGTGTATTTTAATGAACTAGAATTGTCAGAACAAATTTTGAGAAAAAATTGTATTCCATATTAAGATACATATTATGCTCACCTCTGTTATTATGAACTACTGCTAGACGGTGTCTGATGGTTTCAAGCAGTTCAGTGACACACTCTTTAGTCACCCTGTATCTTGCCACGAATTCTTCATTGCTGTAGCATTGGAAAGGATTCATCCTATCACGTACCACATATCTTTCGACTGTGGCTCCTCTTTGCAAAGCAACAAGATGTTGCAGATGCTGCAAATGATCCATTCTGAAATATATGACAATTTTATTAATAAATTAACATCTGGTAATGTACTTTAAATTTGCAAGGTGACTATATAGCCTAATTAGAAACTTAGAGTATGTTCTAAAACATATTTCACATTTACAGAATAATATATCCAATTAAAATGAAACTGATAATAGCATTTATATATATATATATATATATATATATATATATATATATATTATATATATATATATATATATATATATGATTACATTTTTCTCACTAAATTATGCCAATATTTCCTGAATTTTTCAGGTACCGTAAATTGTAATTTCAATGATTTTATATGCATTAAAAATACCACTAGTTATATCCATCTAAATGTGTTTCATTCTTATTTTATGACGAAGAGCTACCAAATAATGACTGCCATAATGATTGACACCGTCAATATATATATTTTTTTTTGATAAGAGAGAGAGAGAGGGAAAGAAAGAGAGAGAGAGGGAAAGAGACAAAGGAAAAGACAGAAAGAGAAATTGTGGACATTCAAAGGAAAATAGTTTTCAATAAGGCACTTCATAAACAGAGCGTATCATAGAGGCTGAAGTTACAATAGACCCTGCTATGTATTTTTTTTTTTTTTATCTCCACTTCAGTTAAAATAGGTTGTTAATAGACGTTAATTTAGCAACGATAAATACTACAATTTAAAGAATAGTTTTTGTTGGCACGAGCCAGTAGACCTACATCCTCAGCTTATATATCTGTAGACCATTATTATGTTATAAAAATATGTATATATTGCTTAGAAACAATATTGTTTTCCGTGTACAAATGTTCTACCTATACACACAGGTCGATGCCGAATTATGAATAATCCCTAGCATATACATTGGATTATTTATTGAATATGTTCACCTCTTAGTGGTTGAATAGCTAAATAATCACAATGCAAGTCTTGCAGAACAACAATTACTTCAACTTACCTCCAAAACGATCCTATAGTAGGCGTTTGTAGAAAATAAAGGCGGTCTTATTTCGCGACCAGAAGAAACGTCAACAAAAGTCTCGAATTCCATCGAGTATCATGCGTACAATAGTTTTGGGTATTAGTTTCCAAAACTATACTTCTTACAGTATATTAAATAATACTTTTCTATAAATTTCAACATATTACAATATTTTTGTATTAAAAAAAAAAGTAATTTGCAGTAATTATTGTGCTTCGCAAAGTAGTATCGCATGGCTATAACCAGGCGACGGGTTCATGCTACTGTTCCAATATTCGGTCGCAAATTTAAGTTCTGAGAGCCAATCGGCGCCGACCTCCATCGCATCGCATCGACTGTGGGTACAACCATGCGATCGCCTTCGCAAATTTCCGTCGCAAAAGGGCTTCGTATGGACTGTAAATACGGCCGCAAAAGCTGTCTCGCGATCGGAGGCGAGACAGGCCTCTAAGCTCCGCCCACTTCTGTGACGGAATGGGAATGGCCGCGGTTGATGGCTAGCTGTTTTACTTATTGCGTTCACCTTGACCCAAAAAGTTCATGTGGGCTTTTCCGCACGATGCGCCTCGCACAGACCCAAAACGGTCAGGGTGAACGGTTTTGCCACGCAAAAGCCTCTCAGCTGATTATCGTAAACATACATTCCAACATGGCGGACGCTGCAAGACGGGTTGCGGGAGTTGCTGTCCTTTTAAATGAATTGGACGATCCCATTTTAGACGCTGCTTTAATAGGTGCACTAGAAAATGAAATATGGGGAGCAGAGGAACCAGCACAAAGAAGACATAGAGTCCAGAATCCAGTAAGAGTTGGAGCTTACGCAGAAAATATTGTACCCCTCTACAACGACCAGGAGTTCAAATCTCACTTCAGAATGCATCGACCAACTTTCATGGTAAGAAGTGATACGTCATGTACTTTAGTATAAGAATTATGCCATGCAATATCAAAATGGAACTTTCAGTTAATGTGATATGTTCAAATCTGCTTGATTATTACTGTGATATTGATGGATAGTATGAAGCAGTTAATGAAGTCTTCAAGCTTTTGCAAAAGCCAGCAAACTAACATTATTTTTAATTTGCCAAGATATAGCTTGGATCATTTTTATTTGACAAAAATTACATTACAAGGGGTCTACCCATCTTGAATAATTTATATAAACAAAGTTTGTGCTCTTTGCTGGAGTATTTCTATGCTTAAGTGGATGAATGCTCGGCAATAATTTTTGGAAATAGGAAGTAAACAATATTTCTAGTTACTACATATTTCAGTCATTTCAGTAATTACCAATAGGTTTTTTCATAGTCCTCGTACCCAAATGGGAATCTGTGTATTTGCTATATGTTTATAGTTTCAGCAGCTAATTTGTACTTCTTTAGAAGTTTTTTATTTGTTTTTTGTTTTTTTTAGTCTTAAGCATTATAATTTGTAAAAAAAATGAAATTGGATGATTTCTCAAGGATTTAAGTGGTTCATGTGGTAATCTGAATTTACCAAGTATTCAACATTTTACTGCCTTTCAGCTGTTCTTATGTATACTTCTCTTTATCAACAGGACTTGTGTCAGATTCTTAGACCCCATCTATCCAATAAGATCCTGTCTGAAGAGAAGATCCTGGCTACACTCTGGCTTTTGGGGAACCAAGAGTCATTCAGAGGTGTTGGTGACCGATTCAACTTGAGCAAATCATCACTACACAAAGTATTTCTTGAAGTAGCATGTGCACTGAAGTTAGTTATGAAAAATATCATTGTATGGCCTGCAAGAGATCAAATTAATGAATTTACAGAACAATTCTTTAGGAAAACTGGATTTCCTGGTGTTGTCGGTGCTATAGATGGAACTCATATACAGATTCCAGGTCCTAAAGAGAATAGAGACTCATATGTAAACACAAGTTCAGCTGCAAGCAGTTTGTGATTGTAATCTAAGGTTTCTCGATATATATTCAGGATGGCCAGGGTCTGTACATGATGCAAGGGTGTATAGAAATTCTCCCATATATTCACTTTTGAAAAACAATTTGCCCAGAGATTTTCATTTGCTTGGTGATTCGGCTTATCCTCTCTCACCATTCATGATTGTCCCTTACAAGAATACTGGTCATCTCACACCTGAACAGAGATCTTTTAATAAAATTCATTCTTCTACTAGGGTTGTGATCGAGAGAGCATTTGGTTTACTAAGTGTAAATTTCGAAGGTTAAAGTACCTAGATATGACCAGACTTGACAAAATGCCATTAATTATTACAGCTGCTTGTGTTTTACATAATTTTATTTTACTCAGGGAAGTTACAAGACGTTTTTGAACCCGAGCCAGAGGTTATATATGAAGGTGTTCCCGAAGTGGAAAGTGGGGAAGCTATTACAAAACGAGATGAAATAGCAAATCTGCTTGCATAATGTAACTTCTTTGTAAACTAAATTAAACCTGTTAATCTGCCTGCATAATGCAACTTCTGTCTGCATTGTTTCCTGCATCAAGCTGTTTGTATGCTTGCAAATAATGCCTCCTCTTATTTGTCTTTTTTGTGTATTGTATTAATTTCTTCAAAATATATTGTATATATTTTCGTTGTTCATAAGATATTTCAATGTACATAAGGTAACATAATCACCTGATAGATCACATCTCTTTCTTTTCTCGTAATTTTATATCATTTTTCATTTTTTTCACATAAATCTTTCATAGTTGATTGTATTCATGTTCACATTTACATGTATTTTGACTGCAAATTTAAGAAGTCAGTGTTTATTTTTGGTTCTACTTACCATAAGCTATGGCTAATAAAAAGATGTTTTCTACCATTTGTATTATTTATTCACTCCACAGTAGGGATTAAACTAAATTATACATATTTATTGAAAATTATAATAAATATTTATACAAAATATTTGAAACTTCATGTTACACTATATAAAAATATAAATTTACAGCTACTTTTCCTGAGCTTTAAGCACCTGAGCAATGATTGTAATGGAATTTCCTATAGCTAAAGTAAACAATTTATAATTGGAACAGACAGACAAGGAAGAGAAAAACAGAAGTAAAAACAGAAATAGAAATAGAAAATTGGAAGAGAGAGAGAGAGGCAGGAAGAGAAAAACAAAAGTATTTATCTAGTGCCGACAGGAAATTCAACGGTTTGCCATCTTGTGGTGGAAGGGATGATGT